CGCCCAGGCAGCTTCCAGTTTTAGGGAAGAAAGAAGAAATAATGAATTAATACTTGTTATGATTGTGACAGACAATTCTGCAACCTCACTGACAGTTGCAAGTATCAGCCCAAAAGAACATTTTAACTTCTTCGATGCTGCTTCAGAAAATTTCAATCGGAGAGTACTGAGGTTTCCTCCAGCTCTGGGATGCTTGGGGCCAAGTGGGAGTTTCAGATTTTACAGAAATGAGTCACGCTCGGTGTGCTGCTATCAGAGGGACTTCCACGGACCGAAAGTAGCTATGTCAGATGGGCACTTAGTTCAGAAATCTTGGCTGGCTTCCCTTCCAAAGCCCTAATGGGGCAATTATGCAAAAATAGTAAAAGTCTGGTACAAAGCTCAGTGCAAAGTCTCTAGTCCTTCGATTGGGCTGATGTACGTCACACGGCCATAGTAATCCTTTCCCTGTATGAGCGGGCAGCGTTAGCAGTTGAGCTGTTGCAGGGACTCAGGACGTGGGTAGTTGGATGGGAAGGAATTCTGCTCTGCACTGCTGCGGAGAAAAACATGGTACCAGAAATAAGGAAATGTGGGAGTAGTTAATCCTGGCTGCTGAAACCAGTGCATGTTTTGTCATTGGTCTTAATGGAGGCAGGATTTTAGCTCAGCAAAGTGTATCGTTGCTCTTAACCTGTTCTCTAAGCCTTTCTCATATTATATGCTTATGGCACGGTATTACCTGGGATGCCTTGTTATTTCCCTTTGACTTACTTTATATTCTGCTATGCACTTCCACCTCTTTTGAGAACAAAATGCTGCGTGAATGCCTTACGGGCTCTTCTCTTTCACTGACCTTTTTTTATGACTTTAAAGAAGTTTCCCTAGGCCCAAGACTGCTTTCTGTCTTGAATACTGACCTTAGAGTTACACCATCTCATTGTTGCTGCACGCAGACTTCTCAGCTATCAAAGCTAACCCACAGGACTCAAAGTATTCCTAACTCAGAAACACCTTGCTTTTTATGTCCTCCTCCTCTTCCCCCTCCTCCCTCCACATGAGCATTTTAATTTCACAAGCAAACTCCATTTCTCTGTGAATTTTGACGAGTGGTTTACCTGTTTCATGGTAAAAATTGTACTTTAAATTTAAATGTCTCTTTCACTGTGACTGTCATAATATTTTCCATTTGAGGCTGAGACTCCACTGTGGGTTTTCTGTGCCACATTGTCATCTGTACGAATCTGAGCTTAATTGCGTGGAAATTCTGACATTTCAGTAAGAAATATTAAGTGTTTTTTTATATTCTTCAAGTTAGCTGTTTCATAGGTACGGCCGCTGGGTTTTGCCCAGTGCCCTGGTCTTTCCCAGTTCAACAACAGATCGAAGATTTCTCAAGATTTTGGGCTTGTTTGCATTCACTGTATTGTGTCATTTCTATGAGAATGACTGACGGTAATTTTTTATCAGATTTCTTACCCTGAAAAGGTGATAAAGGAATAAGTACCCCAAAGCAGGGATTTCCAAACTGACTTTGCTTGTGTGCCACTACCATTGGCAGAGGTGGTTATGTACAATGCTGAATGTGGTGTCCCTGTAATATGGTCTTCAGTGAGCTGAAGACCTAGCAAGCTGAGCCAAGCTTTGAGTGGCTTCACGGTGGAAATGGCTCTGTAGAAATGGCTCCATGGTGGAAAGAGCTGCCTTTAGTGGAGGCTTGGAGAGGGTTTTGGTAGGTGTACAGCACTGTTGAACTCTTTGCCTTTAAGTCAGTGGCCTATAGACCAAGACTGCTTATGCCCAATTGTGCAAGTTTTGGGGGTAAATTTTGACTATTAACGTTTACCTACTATACAGTATTTAACAAAGGCTGAAATATCTCTTGGCAGTCATGTGGTTTCATATGGTGGTTTGTTATGTGGAACAAAGTATGCTGTTGAGGAGATCACCGGAATTGAATTCTCATATACACTTTTACATCTTTCTGTTGGGTAATATGAAATATGGAAAAATGTACACCCACTGGCAATGTTCATATCCACAAATACATATATTTTTTTTGTCATCAGTTACTTTGAGAATATGAGGGGAAATTTGCAGTTGTTTCAATGACTTGACATTTGTCACAACAACAAGGTTTCTAAAATCCAGATTGTAATTTTTACCTCGGCTAGCTGTACCTCTTGCCAAATGGGTTGTGAGAATTGCCAGTGACACAAACTGCTGCTATCAGAACCGATTCCATTGTGGTCTGACCTGACTAATTGCGCTGCAACCCACATCACAGTCACTTTGTATAAGTTTATAGTATAAATCAGATTTTACACATGTGGGGCTATGATGTGAGGCGGGGGTAGATGTGGCAGGGGGGACAGAGTTAGGAAATGAACACATGGGAGTTGTGTTCGATTCTCTCAACTGCAGCTCACAAACTTCGTTCTTCATGGTTGTGTCTGAGCAGCTTCCAGTTGTGTATTAGGCAACACAACTAACATTTGTCACATGTTGTTTATTCTCTTATCTCCTCCCCAGAGGAAGGAGCATGTGTGCTGGAGTATTTCTTTCCTTCGGGAGTTACGTTCCTCAATCCCATATTGCGTGTAGAAATTGTGCCTTTATTATCGTTAGCTTTTATCATCTCTATGAACCTTGAAATTTGATGGAATTTGGATAGCTGACCATCATTGGGAAAGCTCAGCCTTGTGGTGTGTGAATAGTTTGTGAAATTGTTGCAATGCAGGCAGCAACTATTTGAAGAGGTGTAATACCAACTTTTTTTTTGATTGTTGAATCAATTTTTTGTACTGCAAGCTTGTAAGAGAATATGCTTCTCTGTGCTAAATGATAATACAGTTAATTAATTGTAGCTACCTCTGGAATACCTGAAAGCAATCATCCCTTTCCCTTGTATCTTACAGTTTATCTAAGTTGATAACTTGGTGTAGCCAAATCAGGTGGGCTAATTCAGCCCTGCTTCAGCTCAGTTAACGTAATCCCTTCAATTGCATTGGGATGTTTTGATTAGATAGCAAGTTAGCTTCTAATAAAGGTGTCAGACTGACAGGCATTCATGCCATCTACATGCATGCTGAAGCATTTTAATGGTGATGATAGAAGTCTCTCCATCCTAGGGAGCTGCCAGTATGTTCTCCTGAAGATGCTTCCAGAATGAGATGGCTAGTTTATGTTTAAGAGCTGAGGCTTGATCCAGATCATTCCCATCAAGGGCAATTACTCGGGAATGATAATGAGCATCACACTCAGCCTCCACTGAGATTTGCAGTACCGATGCCAGTTACAGCAAAAGTGTAAGTTAGTGAGCAAAATAAGATAAAGACCACAACTGTTGGTTGAAGACACAATACTTTTCCTGAGGATAAGCCTTATCTCTAGATAGAGAGAAATAAATCCACAGTTTGGACGCTTATTAAAAGCAGCTTTTTTTCCCCAGTGGAAAACTTGGTTGTGTCACTGAACTGCACATACAAACACACTTTTTGAGAAAAACAGAAACTTTCTGCAAGCATGTTCATTTCACCAAATCCCTTTTGCTCTGAGACAAAAACAGTTGAAACTTTTTGACCAGCTCCAATACTGGAAGCTCAGGCTTCTTTGTCTTCTATCATATAGGTGATGTGGGGCACACACTGGGGTATATGCTAGTCCTGCAGAGACCCCAGAGCATTTTCCTGACTCTGGGTCTTTGATGTTTGGGGCTTCAGCCCCAACGCAAGGAGCCCTCTGCCTGCCTTCTTGTTGGCTACAGGTATCCTCCCTGCAGTTCATCTTGCATTTTCCCATCCCAGTGGTGACAGTGCATTTTGGCTGCAATTAGTACAGCTTGGATTTCATTAAGTAAATGACCATGAAAAGCTTTCAATATTGGGACAAACCCAATAGAAACATGTATATTATCCAACAGAGGATGTTCTCAATTTCTTTGGTCAGAAACTGAAATTCTTACCTAGGATTTTTAAAACTCTGTTTGACCTTCCCCATCCCTTAGCTAGCTCTGAAAATCACAGCTGGTGATGTTTTACTAGACTTGCAGTACTGACTAAATAGCTCTTTAGCTATTAGAGAATAAATGTTCATGTTCTACAAGTTTAAATTATATTAAAAACCTTTATTAGCACAGCTTGGCAAAATACACTTCTGGCTAGCTTTCTGGCCTTGGATTAGGCCATTCTTGTGGTTTCTTAATGACATGCTATGAAAGGGATATACTTTATGAGAAATTGGTGCCAGGTTTTGCATGTATTCAGAGGCGTTTGCCATTTGTTCATAATGCTGCAGAGGGAAATAAAAAAAATTTAAAAAAATAGAGTTACATCTTACATTCATCTGGCTTGATTTTCATTGTACATGGCCTTTTATATTTTTTGATATATTTTTATATTACATATATTTTAATATTATCTGGTCTCTGTGAATTACTGGGGGCGGCTCAGTTCTGGCATGTAGCAGTGCCAAAAGCAACCAAAGTTACTGTCTGCTGTCTCTTATTTTCCAAACTTCCCTTAGCCATTTTGGCAAAGTTGTCTCAATGAAAGAAGAACTCCTCTTGGCCACGTAATGGGTTTCCGCACAGTTGGGAGCAGAATAAGGCCACTGGGGCAGCCCATTTTTGTGAAGGCAACTGTTCGTACCATGGGCAAAATGTCTCAGAAGTTTCTTTCCCATGAGACTTGGTGACACACAGGCAGTGCTGGGGTGTGATTCAGCTGTCTGGTTTGTTTTCCCCTCTTGTCGTCTGTTTATTTGCTTTGCGACCAACAAGTCCGCCTCTTTTTCCTTCTGCTGATACTGTGCGGTAGTGTGAAAAACGGATGGGGCGAAGTACCTCACGGGTGGGAGGAAGTGTGTGCGGTGGGAAAATGGGGCTGGGAAAAAGGTCTGGGACTTGAGTAACCTTTCTTAGGTGTCTTTCCATTGTAAGAGTTTTGTTTCAAAGGTGTGATTTTTGATAGCAAGAAGCAGGTTGCAGTGGATTTGACCCGATGCTCTCTTTCTTTCCACAGTGGGGAAGCCTCACAAGTGCAACTACTGTGGCCGGAGCTACAAGCAGCGCAGTTCGCTGGAGGAGCACAAGGAACGATGCCACAACTATCTGCAGAATGTCAGTATGGAGGCTGCCGGGCAGGTCATGAGTCACCATGGTGGGTGGAAAACGCCTTTTGAAGTGTCTTGGACTTGGAGCATCTCTTGCTTTTTTTTTTTCCATCTGTTTTTCTTCCTTCCTTTCAGCTTTGCATCATTTCCGTCTTATAGATTGCTTATACTCAGATAGGCAGGAGGAGAAAAGATGGGCTAAAATCCTCGCTCTGTCTAATTTAACAGCACTGGGTTTGCTGATTTTTCTTTTTTTTTTTTTTTAAAGTCAGTATTTCACTTTTTAGTATGTATAAATATGCAGACGTGAAAATAAAGCATTCCATTGCAAAGTTACCCTAAAAATGAACTAAGCCATGTATAAAATGTATGATTCTCCTCCCCTTCCTTTCTGATAGTGACTGATAATTATAAGGCGTAAGGATGGTGGAGGTATTCAGAAGTCGTCATTTCTACTCCCTGTGATATTATCTTCCCCAAAAAGGGAGGGATAGATATAAAAATCTCCAGAGCAGAATGGGATTCAACAGTGTTGATGAAAGTAATTATAACCAAAAAAAATATTTATAGGCATTTACATGTGTTAGCATTAATATGTTAACTAACACTGCATGTGTTAATATACATAAAGACTGAAGATTGCCAAAAAGATTGTTGAAAGCGAGAAATGTTAAACTCCATGAATTTGTTTTAAAAAATTTCTGTAGCTATTAGTATGGATAATGAGCATAATATTTCAGACGGCAGGCTTATAGGCTAATCTGTTGCACTAAATACTTAATGTTAGCTGTCATAAATAAAATTGTTAGAATTGCATTCAAAATCAGTGTTTTAGAAAGTCTTCTGAAACTGAACATCTTTTAGCTTTTAAAAATTGTCTTTAAATGTTCATTACTTGAAGCATTTAAAATTTCTTACTAATCAGAAAATATAAAAATTATATGTTTTTCATTTTCATTAAAAATTACTTTATGCCTAAGAATACCAAAAAGGTAGGTTGTAGGTAAATGAAAAGGCGCATTTCCTCTTTTTTTTTTTTCCATTTTGCTTTTCATTGTTGAGTGGAGTTATATGGCTTCATTTGGAAATTAATTATGTAAAAGTTCTGAAAAGTCATTTCTAAAAATCGAAAAATACAAGCTTAAATAAAATCTATGCAGCATTTCTAATACGGGGTATTTTTTGGTGAAAAAAAAATCACCGAAAAATTTTAAAGAGTAATTTTCCATGAACAATTTAATCCTATAAAGGCATTCTAAATGTGTTTAATATCTATTGGCAAAATGTTTATATAGCTTTATTAAGTAATTATTATCCTAGTAGACAACCTGAAGACTAAAATCAACATTGAAAATGTAATGGGTGACTTTAAAGACATTGAAGTTAGTGCTTATCTGCCTTAGACCTGACTTTACACTTGTAAAAGTCAGTGAAAAGACTGATTTCAGGGCTTTGCTATTTGCAGGTACTCATTGTGTGCATGGTCTATTAGATGAAGCACTGGATGCTAGTTGGAGTTGATAGTAGGGTTTTAATCACCAACTCCATTCCCAACAAAATATGCACTCTTCATTCTACAAGGCTGTGCCTGTCTTATTAACCAGCTGGGTGATGATTTGAGTCAGAGTAACAGTAGGCTGATATAGTTATGACAGCCAGGTTGTTTCAGAAATTACGGTGTGGAGGATCTTCCCAAGTTCCACCCAACTTCCAAGTTTATTTTTCAGTTATTTATTAAAATTGGCTGTACTCTTATTGACAGTGTACTTCTGAGGAAATCTAAAGCTTTTTCTAAGCTGCTTAATGCTATGACAAGAAGGGTAAGTCCTTAACCTTGTCTACCCAAAGAAGCTGGCATGGTTGACCTTGCATTGATTTTTTACCAACTGAAGTTAAACCAGTGCAAACCCCATGTGGACAGTTCTTTTATTTACAGCCTGACTGACTTTGCTTGGGCTTAAAATAGAAATGTTCACACAACCACTTTGCTTTTCTCAACAGAATTACCTTAAAACAGCACTTTGAATTCAACTAGTACCTCTTTCTCCTCTGGGCAAATATGCCTATATGTCCCCTGGTGAACGTTTAAGGGATGTTTGATCCACTGTCTTCATTGTGCTGTTTAGTGAGGGCATAGCGAGGACAGGCAGCAACAGGGAGCTCCAAAATCAGCTGGAACCAGTAATAAATCTCACATAACATCCCAGCATCGCTCCCACCCATGAACCTCATCATGGAAGTAAGGGTCATGAGCACCACCCTGTAGAGGTCTACAGCAAAGTCCTTTCTCCTGGGACTATAAAGACACCAAGGAAGAGTATACAAATGATTACTCAGCTTGAAGATAGGTCTTAGTCTAACCCTGAAAAATGTACTAATTTTCGTCTCTCCCATGTCACACATGGAAAGGGTGTTCCTGAGGATGAGTGAGTGCATGCTTTGGAGATTTTGATCAGTGGTTTATTTCACATCACATTGGGGTTAAATTTTCCTGACTCTCTTTCCAAATAATTTTTAAGTATTCTGTTCTTGCTGAGTCTTTTGAAGCCTCTGAATGCATTTTGGTGTGACTGCTGGTCACAACTTCACACTTATGCACAAAATAGGCAGAGGTGGGGATTTTCTTACTCGTACCAACATCCTGCTTTAAGGACACAGGTGGCTGTGCTGGGTCTCAAGCAATATGGCCAAGGTTTAACATGAGTCTAAACTATTTCTGCAGAGATTAATTGTTCCAGAAAACTGGAGGAAGCCCCTAGAGAGTTTGGATTTTTTTCAAGCATCGTGCTCAAGTTGATCAGTTTATAGGCTTGCTACATACATCTACTTGGGTGCTTTTGCCATGGCTTGATGAGGCTTTTAATTTCAATTATAATTGTCTTGCAGATGGCTAGATCACCTGACTAAAGCCACAAGGGGAAGCAAGAGGAGAGGAAGGAGGGCTAGTTTCGGTGTGTGGGTAGGAAGATACAAGTTTCTGGGTCTCTCTCCATCATCTCGCAGTGTGCTGGTTGCTTGCTGAGCTGCCCCTCCTTGTGGCTGGGTCCTGTCCCTGGCTCAGCATGATGGCTGCTGCAAGAGAGCTCCCATGACTTTGTTGTTGGCAATTCTTGGTTAAGCAGTGCTGGCCCCAGAGGTAGAAATTAGTCTGCAGTCTCCTAGCTAGCAGTGTGTTGGGTGTGACAAAAGTGACAGTCTCTGAATACCAAGAGCATGACCTTTGCGGGAACAAACAGGGACAAATGCTGAAGGCTAGCTATGGTTATACATTCTTTTCCATCTCCACAAAGCAAAAAGTCCAGAGAAGTTCTTAAGGTGGAGAGGAGAAGGGTACTCTTTTTAGGAGAAGGAGAAAGAAGTCTAGTCCTAGGCTGTGTGAGGCTCAAAGGGCATCTCCACATAAAACACACAATGGCCTTGTGTCCTTCCCTCTTGCATAGTTGCTAAAACATCATTAAAATGCTGGTCCCACAGGAGACTTCACACCAGGGTCCATGGGAATATTTCCTGTCATTTCTCTGCACAAACACTTTTTTTTTTAAATAGCAATATTGTGAGCTTAGGAAAGGAAATTGAGGTTGATGGAGTAATACTAATTTATACCAGCTGAGACTCAGCCCAGTGTCTGTTGTCTGCACACAGAAGTATTTATCAGCAAAATGCACACTGGGTAATTTTTTTACTTCTTTTCTTCCCTATTCTTTCCTCACTGGAGCAGCGTAAACTTTTTTAATAATATGTATGGTTTCTTACAAATTAAGAAGCAAAACTTAAAAGATAGCCACTTTGAGCACTATGATTGAAAAACCAATGTCTTCAGGAACATAAAGGTTTTGTTCTGAAGACCACCCGGGTTTGTATATTGAGAGTTTGGGCTTAGAAACAAGATTTGGTGTTAACTGCAATTGAGGACGTTAACAATGTCAGAGATGGTAAGCCTTTGAATGGGCAGTCCAGGAGAGCACCCTGATAGCTGATTAAGAACATCCCTGAACAGAAACATACTGAAGCGTGGGCTTTTCATGGACTAGATGCTTGATTTTTAGAATAAAAAAGCCTTCCTGAGCTGAGACCATAAATTCACAGCATAAAATGAGTTGCTGTATCAAAGCTAGTTACAACGTGTCAGCTGTTCTTTGCGGCATCCCACTACTGAGGTAATGAAGTACAATGAAATACAACAAAAAAGGAATTGCATTTACTGCAGAGTAAATGTCTACACAAGAGCTTCTACCACAGAGCAGCTGATTTGTGATAACTGTTGGTTGCGTGTGATCAGTTTGTTTTTCCCCCTTTTTATTTTGTTTTTCCTAGAAAAAAAGAAAAAGCAGGCTGGGCTATTTGTCCTTTTTATGTATATTTTTAAATTGAAATGAAAATTAATGTATCTAGAATTGACAATGGGATCTTTAGCTTAACTCTTTGGGTTTCTAAAATGTGACATCTCACCTGTTAGCTCCAGTTTTGCATGCAACTTAAATGGTTTCAGAAACTAGGCTATTTCCATCACTCCCTTCTCCCAGGAAATCTACATAACAAAACACATTCTAGTAACTTCTTCCCTTCATAACACAAATATTGGTGTGATACAGTGATTGTGTTGCTAGAGAGCCATGCCCCGGATTATACAGTTGAGTTCTAAAGTGGGGAAAAAGAGCTTGCAGCATGAAAGGTAGAAAAGAAAAAGCTTTTACTGGTGAAGACTTTACCTTTAAAAGAAGTCCAAGCAGAATTTTTGCCTGACTTGGAGAAGAGAAGATGTCTTTTTTAGTACTATTCATTTTTCGTGGAAGAAAGGTTTCAAATTCTGTCTAGGAAATTTACACACATATGCCCAACAGTAGAATTATTAATTATTACTTAATTGTTATAAGACATACAAATATCACTACATTTGGGGCTTAATCAGATGGCTATTCAAGTAATCAAGAGGTTTTCAACTGATTTTCTGGGCAAGTACGGTCCTACAAAGCCAGCATGCCTTGGGATTTAGGGGCTTCTGCACCTCCCTAGGTTCTCACCACCAGCCTTGTGTGTCCTGTACACCAACAGCTAGAAATTCTTGAAGGGGCACTCACGTGCAAACCTGGCCCATCGCAGTGAGGATGGGTATTGCTGCTGAGCAGGGTTTCACACAGAGTGTGTGTGCATGTGCATGCCTACGCTGATTTTTGGTAAGCCAAGAGGACAGTCAGACACCAATTCCCAGTGAAAATCAACAGACATAATCTTTCCTTCCTTCCAAAATCTTCCTGGTAAATGCTTGAGTAGAACTAGAGCAGATAGCTCCTGACCAAGCACAGTATTTAAATAACCTTAAAAATTTAGCGTTAGCTGTTAAAGTATTCCAGACCTCCCAGTCTGCACTGGGCATTAATTAGGTCACTCAAACACTGCATCCCATTTTCATTTTGTTGCAACATTAGATTCATTTCATATTTATGCTTTTTCTTCATCTCTCACTGATGCCAGCAGGACTGCCTTGTAAATGAGAAACCATTGTGTTTCTCAGGGGGAGCATCCTGTACAAATAAAAAATCAGCAGAGTAAATCATTTTATAGCATATGGTAGATTCTAAGCCTCAAAGTACTCAGCTTTCCTTAGCAGCAGAGGCACAAATGGAATCAAATGAATAAATTGCCATGTTTTCTTATTATGAATATCTGAATTGAGAAGTTCACCTGAGCAGATACTCTGTTTTGTAATTGCCTGGTATTTGCTCTCCCTTACTAGAAAGAAGGCAAAGACAAGGCTTTTCTCACCCCATTTTTCATATATTATGTGCTAGCAAACAGCCACATGTTTAAGAACAGGGGAGTGATTATTCCATATTAGGATCCTGAAGATAGTAAAGTTACATGGGAGGAAAGTAGGCTGGTGGTGTTCATTTATGGCACAGTCTCAGGGAGAAGGTATCTGTGACACGAAAGACTGCTACAGTGAGAGACCAGAGGAGGACTAGCAGAAGATGTGGGTTTCGGTCCTCTACTACCTCTGTGATACCATCCATGACTTCTCTGGAAGATTTATCTAATACAGAGAATGCAATGGATTGCTCACAGTTTACAAATTGTAGGAACTCCTTGTAAGATCATCCCAGTTTTTATTTCTCTGCCATCCATTTTCACCTCAAATAATTTTTTACACCTCAGCCATGCCATTAGTGCACAGACTAGTAGCTGATCCTTCTTAGGTTCCTCTTGCTCCCCGATGAAGATGAATGCGGGACAATTAGGCCATGTATTAAAATCATGGCAGCAGAGCAGTGGGAAGAGCGACACATGGAATAATTTTTGACATGACTCGGACTCTCTGAGCCTGATCCGCACCAAGGTACCACTGACCTTTCTTGGTGTTTATAAGAGGATGCTCAACAAAAACGGAGTACTCTGTAGGTATTTAGTGATGAGCTATGTCAGCAAGTGACATAAAACTATGTGAGTTGGTCGCTACCCTGGTCCCATGGAGTTCCTAAATTCCTATGCTTCTTTTGCTCTAGAACTTCATTCCCTAAGCCAACAAGCAACAAAGAGTGAAATGAGTAAAGACACAAGGGGTCATTAATTTCTTGTTATTGTCTCAAAGACAATGTATGAGCATTCCCCTAACATAGTTAGCACAGGAATGCTCCCAGCTAATCCCAGAAAGTGAGAAGACAGACACAGAAGAATTGCATTCACTGGTTGTTAGGGATAAAATATTAATCAAAAAAATGTTGGTTTCTGCAACTGACTCTGAAGGGAATTTCCATATGATGTTGACTCTGTAATTCCAATACAGCATTTGTTGATTTTATGGTCTCGTATATAGAAGAAGGAAACATACTTTCACAAACAGATCCTTCATTCTGGAAGCCTTTGTCTTGGGGAATGCACAGCCAGGCCCAGGAAACATAATTCATCAGTGCCTTGTGTGTTTTCTAGTCGTAGAGATTAGCACAAAAAGAAAATAAGAATGGTAAGCGTGCCTTATAAGTGTGAATTTAAGGGAATACACAAAGAATGACAACTAAAAAGTTACATTGGCAACAGGTGACCATATTGAAAGGAGAATAACAGAAAATATTATCTACAGAGTGAGTTTTCAAAAGTGTTCCCTCCTCAGTGGAGATCTTGAGTATTGAGAGCAAAACAAGTCCTTTAATAAATGCTTAAAGTTGGGCTTCTGCTAAATATGATGGTACCAAAGAGAGACGTTTTGAAAATGTGGCTCTGTTTAAAGGTGGTTGCTATCTTGATGCCCAGTGTGTTCCTACACCTTGCTTTATTTTGTGTTGCACTTGTTGCGCAATCAGCAGGGCTCAAATGATTTGTATTGTCTGTGAAGTGTAGACCAGACTTGTCTGATACGATTTTTTGGTTTTACGTAGTACCTCCTATGGAAGATTGTAAGGAACAAGAGCCTGTGATGGACAACAATATTTCTCTGGTGCCTTTTGAGAGACCTGCTGTTATAGAGAAGCTGACAAGCAACATGGGAAAGCGTAAAAGCTCCACCCCACAGAAGTTTGTGGGTAAGCTTGAAATACGCCTTTTTGTTATTTTTAGTGTGTAGGTATAGGTTACTTGTAATTTGTAATAGCCAAAAGAACAAGGGGAGAAGTAGCGCTCTCAGAACTTGGTCGTGATGGGGAGGGACAACAGTTGAGATGGTTAAACTACAGCAAAAAATCCTGAAAATTATTGAATTAATTTTACCAACCCAGAGAATTCAAAAGTGAGGTCCCACGAATCATGAAAATCTTGAGCTTTTTACTGCGCCTTAAGGCTGTTTTGGTTTTTTTAACTTTTCTCTGGCCCTTCTGAGATTTAGAGTTGTCATCCTTCCCTCTCCTTGCCCCAGCAAATAAAAACTAAGACTCTCATATAATTTTCTGTTTCCGTATATGTGTGTGTCAAAAAAAACCTCCCAAGTATCTCAAGACGTGTAACTTGTATTAAATTCTTGAGAGTTGGCAACAACTGGTCTGATAATACCGGCATGAGGAAGTAAAATCACATCGCTTCTGTTGGAAGAAGTGCTTGCTCCAAGTGCAGCATGCTGCACACAATAAACTTATTAACACAAGAATATAAAACATGGTTTGGTTACCAAATTTAGAATCCTAGGCCCAGAAGTCATATTTTGCTTTGTATCTTGACATCTTTAAATTGTTCAACTTGTAACAGGAGAGAGTATGGGGAATTTTGCTTGGTTTGAGCTGTAACTTAAAGCTTCTTTTTACTGCTACTGAGGCAGTGATAAACTTAGGAGGGGAGCTGGGACAGAGAATTATTTGGGGTAAGTTTATGCGGCTAGACTCCAAAGTCATGTAATATGTATTTTCCATGCTCACTCTCTGGAAGGACAGTTGTACAGATTTTAAGGATGTCCTATGCTTGTTCTGCCTACACAGAGGACACTTAAGGAGAGAGGATGGGAGACTGTAAGCAATTAACACAGACATTTAGAAAAGTCATTGCCCCTCAGCTAAATGCAGATTCGGATGGATTTGTTAAATCACCACTGAAGGTGGTTTTAAGCTAACCCACATGGTTTTGAATAGCAGGGGGCTAGCAGCATGCAGCAGCGCACCTGAGGGGACACTGACACACTGACCTGGCAGCTCTCAGTCATCTGACCATTCCCAAATATTGGTGCTAAGCCAAGGTTAGGTCAGGAACAATCCAATCCACACGAGAAATGCTGGAAGGCATCAGTATTTCCTATATTGTTATTAGTCCTTCTGAGATAAAAGCTTAATTCTTAGACTGTTGTTTTTAAGAGTGGTCTGAAATTAGTTACTGTATAGCTGACAAAAACTAGAGGATTTATACTCTGATTTCATTTACTGCTGTGACAACAGTTGGGGTTGAAGAGGGTGGAAATGGGCACAGGGCTCTCTACTGACAAACCAAATGCAGCTTTATGAGATTGCAAACATGGCCCTATCATAGCAGATTTCCCTAGTGTTGTCTCAGCAAGTGCTGTACTTCCTTGCAATTGTGATCAACAGTGAAATAGTTAACCATGCTGACACTTAAACTGGTGCATGTAGACCTCAGAAACAGCCTCAAAAAAACCCAAGGGCAGTTCACACCTCTTTCTCTTCCCCCCTCTCCCCCCCCAAAAAAAATTGCAATACTTCTCAGAGGTTATCTTTGCAGGGGCTACAGACTTCATCTGAGACAGCTGGAGACCTTGCTCTCTTCCCTTCAATTCTGGTGTACCCATGCCTGCTCTCAAAGCAGTATAGTTTACTGATTATAAGTATACCTCACAACTGAGGCAACCCACTTTTTGAATGGTATAAATTGAATCAATTTTTGGAAGCTATAGATTATTGACTCTTTTTTCAGACAAGGAAGGTTATTTTAGTTGTCCACCTATGTGCAATTGGCCACAGGCTGTTACTGTCTTCAAGGGCAAATTTACTGATTGGAAATCTTTGCCCGAGATATGTGTAGCAGAGTATTATGCTCTTCAGTAGGGTATAGTACTTTGTTGCTGGATAAACCTGTTTCTTCTATAGGTGTAACAGATCACTTTTTTATTCAGTTTTTCTGGGGCTAGGAATCCAGGGTTTCATGTCACATGCAGCTTTTCATCCAGATCCAGCTGTAGGGAA